GCGCCCCCCACCTTCCACAGCACCCCCACCTCAGTCCTCCCCTTTACCTCCATCCATAACCCCTACCCTTCATTTCCCCACCTCCTCCCATAGCCCACCCCCTCCACAGCCCCTGCCTCAGAGCCCCCCATCCCCTCCCATAGCCCCCTACCCTCAGAATCCCCCCCACCTCAGAATCCCCCACCCTTCACCTCCCTCAGGGGAGCCTCCACCCCTGCTCCCAGCTGGACCCGGCGAGGCTGCGGCAGCTCGGGCTTCGGGAGGCGCTGCAGCGCATGCCCTTCCCGGGTGGGGGAGCTCGGGCTCCCGGGAGCCACCGCACCCCGAGAAACTTTCCCCTGCGCCAGCACCCGCCCCCGGGCAGCGGCTCCGCCGGGGGGGAGGCAGCCCCGGCTGCACGGACCGCTGGCGGGGGGCTCCTTATACGGCCGGGATGGAGGGGGGAGATTGAGGCTCTGCCAGAGCCACGGGGATGCTGGGAGGAGGGAGAAGCGGCTGCGGGTCCCCCACACCAGCAGCTGGCTGCAGAGACGCCACCGCTCCTAGCCGTGGGGTGCAGAGTTGCAGCAGCACGGGGGGGTTGTAAACCCCAGGCTGAGTGAGCTGACACCCCAAGAGGAGAGGGGGCAATGGGTAGGGTTATCATACATCCATATTTTCCGGATGTTTTTATATATTTAAAAAATCCTCCCGGACGGCAATTAACAACTAAAAAGCCGGACATGTCCGGGGAAATACGGACATATGGTAACCCTATATAAACACTCCAAACCAAGTTTGCAACCAAATACTTTTAAAAACCCACCTATGTTTTACACACCCAACAGTTTAAAACAGTTTGCAACAAAATACTTTTCAATAAATCCACATGCATTTAAAAGCCAATTGTAAAAGTTACCTTTTACTACAGAATAAAGTGTTGCAGGCACATGTTTGTTCTGTTTCCTCCCCCCCCCCCCCCATATGTGTGTTTGGGTTCAGGTTAAAGAACAGGCAAACATTTTAGTTAGTATTACCACCAAATCCCTATACAACCTGTGTAATACCTAATTTTTTTTTTTAATTTAACAATCTTAAGCACAACTATAGTTAAAATGTTTTTTACCTTGGCCTGGTGGTGAAATGCAGTTTAAAGTTATTGGTTCCATGCTAAACAGATCACACTGCAATAAACATAGGTACCATTATTTGCTAAGACAGCATGGGCAAAGAGTGGCATTATATAATATATATTTCAGAGTTAAAAACAGGGAGCATACCTCCTTCTACAGTCCAGCAGCAGCAGCCATTGAAGAACGTTTCTGTTGAAAAGGACAGTCTCCAACATACCTGAGGTTTTTATACCATCCTAGCCCATTGTTTCAAACAGACTTCAACATAGTAGCTAGCAGGTTAATTTAATCACCACAGCTCTGAAATAATAGAGCCTTAAGGACTTTAGGCACCCCTCCCATAGCATTCCCTTTTGTGATCTGAGGTGGGGGAACCAAATTGTCTGCACAACAGGGCTTTTTTGTTCTTTTCCTGTTTTTTTTTCTTCAGCCTTGGCTACACTGGCGGTGTTCAGGGCTGGAACTCACCATCCTCACCCACCCAATTTAACCCTATGGCAACAAGGGTAAGTAATCACAGTTACCTGGCTATCCAGTGGGAGTGTGATTAATACCCATTCAGTTCAACAGGATAAGTCAACTCTATTGTACTCAAACACATGTCTGAACCAGCCCTGTTTGTTTTATTGTAAACACATTTTTAGGATTTTTTTCCCCTCCCACAACATACATTTCAGCTTTTTGCTGTAAATGGGTCTCTTTTATACAAAAACACAAGAGCTAGGTTCTCACAAACAATAATTTTTTTTATTTAAAAGACATACAGCTCCTTGAAAACAAACCAAGATGCTTCATTAAAACTTTTAGCTCACTTAAGGGCCAAAGGCCTTCTAACAGAAACACAGATAGTCACAAAGTCCTTTTTCAATAGGTTTTTTTTTTTTAATTTACAGCTACCAAGTTTTATATCGCATGTTTGTCCCCTCACCATTCTCTAACTTAATCCTTTTAGATTTCTTACAAACAGGCTTTTTCTTAAGCAGGGTTCTGTAACTTTTTGTGCGGACTAGATAACGCTGTAAGCAGTGTGATACAGCATGGCCAGAGGGCAGCAGGAGAGGGTTAGAAGGGAGCCTTATTCCCCATAGAGGAAAGAAAGTTTGCTATAGATCAATTAGAGCACCTGAAGCCAATTAGAGTACCTGAAGTCAGTCACCTGATAAAAAACCCCTGCTTCAATCAGACAGGGAAAGGAGTTGGAGCAGAGAGGATTGGTGTTGGAGCAGAGAACAGTTTGAAGGAGTAGAAACAGAGTGGATTGGTGTTGGAGCAGAGAGCAGTTTGGAGGGAAGCAGAGGAAAATTTGGAGAAGTGCTGTGGTGGGCTAAGAAGACCAAGACCCTAGGTAAAGGGACACCTGGCTTGTGCAAAGGGAGGGCAGGAAGCCCCCCACAAGCTGAAGGGCAGGAGAGGGAAGTAGCCCAGGGGAAGGAACCGCTAGTTCAAGTGGTTTACCACTATCCCTAGGGCCCCTGGGCTGGGACCCGGAGTAGAGGGCAGGCCCGGGTCCCTCCCTCTCCACTCCCCTCCTCTAGGACACTAGTGGGGTAGTTAATATCCCAGTTCAGGGGCAAGAAACGGCGCCCTGAAACCCCCCCCCCCAAGAAGAGAGGGCGCGAGACCCATCATAGTAGTGCCGGCAATTTGCCACATGTGGTGGGATCTATGCACTGGGGACTTAAACCAGGGTTAGCCAAAACCCTCCCATCCTTAAGATGGACAACGTGGTCAAGGCCCTAATACAAGCCACCGCGACCCAGCAGGAGGCTACCCAGGTCCAAGCAACTGCCCAACAGGAGGCGACTCGGGTGCAGCAGGAGACTAATCATCTTTTGATGAGTCAGGCTGCCCAGGACCGAGCCCTGCTGAAAGAGCTGGTGAACCAGATGAAGGCCCTTATGGAACTGAACCACAACTGTGAAGGGACCCGGACCATATGGGCCAGCCACTGCCTACAGAAAATGACACGGGAGGATGATTCATAGATTCATAGATTCTAGGACTGGAAGGGACCTCGAGAGGTCATCGAGTCCAGTCCCCTGCCCGCATGGCAGGACCAAATACTGTCTAGACCATCCCTGATAGACATTTATCTAACCTACTCTTAAATATCTCCAGAGATGGAGATTCCACAACTTCCCTAGGCAATTTATTCCAGTGTTTAACCACCCTGACAGTTAGGAACTTTTTCCTAATGTCCAACCTAGACCTCCCTTGCTGCAGTTTAAACCCATTGCTTCTGGCTCTATCCTTAGAGGCTAAGGTGAACAAGTTTTCTCACTCCTCCTTATGACACTCTTTTAAATACCTGAAAACTGCTATCATGTCCCCTCTCAGTCTTCTCTTTTCCAAACTAAACAAACCCAATTCTTTCAGCCTTCCTTCATAGGTCATGTTCTCAAGACCTTTAATCATTCTTGTTGCTCTTCTCTGGACCCGCTCCAATTTCTCCACATCTTTTTTAAAATGCGGGGCCCAGAAGCTGTCCTGGTATCCCCAAAGTGCTGGGTGGCACTTTCTAG